ACACGTTGCTGTAGGCTTCCGAGAGATTGTCCATACAGCTGAGCCCCAACTCTTCCAATGGTCTAAAGAAGGAGCGGGGGTATGTCAAAGTCGGGTGGACGAGATAGTGCTCACTTGCTAAGGAGATCCACCATGCTGAAGCACGCCTTCTCGTCTGGTTGGATTTTAACTGCTCCACCAGAGAGTTGCTTGTCCAGCATCCGCGCCAGAACAGTATGAATTGACTGAGATGAAGGAGAAAATACTAAATCATGGGAACGGCCAACGAGGCTAGTGATCCTGTGACTAGCAGCACTACTAGTGATCCTGTGACTAGCAGCACTACTAGTGGTCCTGTGACTAGCAGCACTACTAGTGATCCTGTGACTAGCACCATCACTACTAGTGGTCCTGTGACTAGCACCATCACTACTAGTGGTCCTGTGACTAGCAGCACTACTAGTGGTCCTGTGACTAGCAGCACTACTAGTGGTCCTGTGACTAGCACCACTACTAGTGGTCCTGTGACTAGCACCATTACTAGTAGCAGGAAGTGATTTCCCGTTCCCCATAGTACCTGCAAGTGGTCCTGTCTATCGGGATAGAGTGTTATGGTGAACCCAAGATAAGCTCCCATAATATCAATCAGGGACGCCAGACTGCTACGACTCCCTCTACCACGCCCTGCAATCACAGCTCATTCACCACAACACTTCTACTCTAAGACCAATACCTTGCCCACTCTCCGAAGTGTCAACAGTTTGTGCCGCATCGATCTCACTGCGATCCAGCATTCGGTCGAGATGCGATCGGAAGAGCTCGAAAACGTCCAAGTCGTGAGGGACCGACCCCGGGTTCGACGAAACCTGTCGTTGGACATTCTGCGATGCGTTTGAATTCATTCCAAGTCCTACGTATACTGCTAGACGGTTCATAAGGTTGACAATGATCGGCTTCAGGTCCACAGCGCCTAACACAGAGACGGTACGTGTATATATTGATACTAGGGGAAGTACTGTTAGTTTTGCTGCATGTCGTTAGAAGTGAGTCCAGTGTAGAGAGATGATATTCATCCGGGAAGACCTAGGAAGAACATAACAATCTAGAATCAGTCCTTGAACATGAGCCTAACCTGTATAATGCAATCTAGTAGATATTGCTGAGCCATAGTATCCTGGCATGAGACCACTTGGTCAACAGCTTGGGCAAACGATCGATACGTATATCTGAGCTCTGTCAATGAACCTCAGCTAGTCACCACATGATGACCTCAAGTGGCGATCTCGAATAAAACGTGTCCCC